CTACTTTTTGTTAGCAAGAGGTGTTAGGCAGAAAGTTGAGTGAGGGGAAAGAATATTGAAGCAATAGAACTCCAACATAATTGCATTACAACTCTTAAAATATTAACAGAATCTATCTGTACGGAAATTTTTGTGTTCAGAATCTATCATTACAACTCTTAAAATTAAATTTTTTGTGTTTTTTAAATTTATTTTATAAAAACATGTAAAAACAATTTTAATTAATTACGAGAAAATAAACTAAATGTAATTTGGATTCAATTTTATTTTAAAATAAAAATATATTTTTAGAATAAAATGTTTAAATGAAATGAAATTTCAAAATTATGGGGCAATTTAGATCTATAGCTCTAACTAATTTCAAAACCAAAATCATCACAAAGATTATAACTGATAAGTTGGCCTCAATTATGCTTCATATAATCTTTTCTAAGCAGAGGCTTTGTCAAAGGTCAAAGCATAAATGATTGTATCTGCTTAACTTCTGAAGTCATCACTACTTTTTGTTATTCTATAGGTATGGTGGTCAATATTGACAAGAGTAAAATTTATTTTGGTTCTGTTGATTCTAACACCAAGAATCAGATCTTAACTTGGTCTAAGTTCAAGGAGGGCTCTCTCCCATTTCGGTATCTGGGCATTCCTCTATCTTCCAAGAAGCTGAGCTGTAACCATTACTTGCCTTTGGTGGACAAGATTATAGCCAGAATGAGCCATTGGTCTGCTAGATTACTTAGCTATGCTGGGCGTGTTCAATTGGTAAAATCTATATCTTTTGCTATTGCTAATTTCTGGATTATGGTTCTTCCCCTGCCTAAAGCTATCCTCAAGAAGATTGATTGTTTGTGTCGGTCTTTTGTTTGGTCGGGTTCTAATACTGTTAATAGAAGAAATTTGGTTGCTTGGACTACAGTCTGTAAACCTACAAAATATGGTGGTTTGGGAATCATTAATCTTAGCATCTGGAACAAGTGTGCTATGTTGAAACTGTTATGGAACATATGCGCTAAATCTGACAGCCTGTGGTTGAAGTGGGTTAATGCTTACTATTTGAAGGATTGTAACATTATGGAGGCCAAAGTTAAAGCGTCTAGCTCGTGGATTATGCGTAAAATCTTGGATCAAAGGACCTTCATTCTTTCTCATCCCCATGTTTGGCAGGCGTTAATCTCCAAGGGTGCTTTTAGCATGAGAGACTGTTATATGGACATAGGTGATAAACCTCAAATTCCATGGGCTAAGGTTTTTCAGAACAACCCGACGAGGCCTAAAGCTAAGGTAATTTTATAGTTGGTTTGCCACAATAAGCTAGCTACCAAAAGTCGGCTATGTCGTTTGGGCTTCATCACGGACAGTAGATGCTGTTTCTGTCCTAGTATAGAAACTACTTCGCATCTTTTCTTTGATTGTGATGCTACTAGGCAGATTTGGTGTGAAGTTCTTGCTTGGCTTCAAATGCAACATCATATTCCTAAAACTTGGGAGGAGGAACTTCAATGGGCCATCAAGTGGGGGAAAAGCAAAAGTTGGAGAGCCTCTTTGATTAAACTTGCCATTGCGGAAACAATCTACGGAGTGTGGATATATCGTAATAGCATTTGTTTTGGTTCAGGTCCGGATTGGTGTCATGTGACCAAAACTATTATTGATACTATTATTTTTAGGGGTTGGCATTGTAAGCTCTTAAAAGATAGGATTGTCGGGTTAATGTTGCCTTAGGTTCTTTGGTTGGCTGGATCCTTGCGATCGCCGTGTACTTCTTTTGTTTTTTGATATAATTCAAGTCCTTATTCCAAAAAAAAAGTGTTGCTTTAAAAATTGACATTGCTAAACCTTTTTATACTTTAAATTGGCATTTTCTTCTACAGATTCTCAAGAGATTTGAGTTTTGTACTAAATTTTGTGATTGGATCCACACTATTCTACAGTCTGCTCACCCGTCTGTATCCATTAATGGTAAACTGCATCGATTTTTCAAGTGTCATAGAGGTGTGAGATAAGAGGATCATTTATCCCCTCTCTCCTTTTGACTAGCAGAGGATGTTTTGACTAGAGCTCTTACCAACCTGGTTGAAGAGGCCAAGGTCTTTCCTATGAAAGGAACTAGAAATATCCAGGTCCCGACCCACACTCTATATGTCGATGATATTATGTTTTTTCTATAGATCCATCAAGGCCATTGGTGCTCTTTTGAATAGATATGCTGCTTTCTCAAGTCAACTGTGTAATGCCTCTAAATCTATTATGTATGTAGGTGTTATGTCTGACATCAATAAATCTCCGATAGCATCTCAGGTTTGCTTCTCCATTAGAACAGTTCCTTTCATATATTTAGGAGCTCTTATTTTCGTGGGGAAACCAAAGGCTAAACACTTTCAGTATATCGTTGACATGATTAAGAGCAAGTTGAGTACTTGAAAGGCACCTCTTATATCCATTGCAGGAAGAGTTGAGTTAGTGAAGTCCATCATTCATAGTATACTAATCCACTGCATACAAGTTTATGACTAGCTTGTTAGATTAATTAAAACTTTGGAATCTTTGATGCATAATTTCATTTGGATGTGGGATATTGAGAAGAGGAAACACATAATAGTTGCTTGGAAGAAGTGTTGTAGGACCTTATAAGTTGATGGCCTTGGCATTATGTCTTTATCTTCTCTGAATCATGTTGTTCGGTAAAATATTCCTTCCATGTTATCATGAAAAATTCAATCTGAAATCTTTGAAATCGTAAACATATCAACTTTTGGCTCGACTCATGGTGTGGCCCTCCATTAGCTCAAACTCTGAATATATCAGTTTTAGATCACAATCTTATCAATAAAAAGGTATGTGATTTCATTGTAAAAAAGAATTAGGACCTCCCTAGAAACTTTACTATGGAATTCCTTTCTCTCTCATTTCCCCATTGCCATGTTCCTGAGGTCGATTTAGAGGACTCTAGGGTCTGGTCTCATGTGAACTATAGTTGCTTGACTCTTAAGGATGCCTACAAGTTCGTTTTAAAGCATGGTCCTAAGATCTCTTGACACAGGCAAGTTTGGAACTCAAGCTTACCTCCTTCCAAATATCTTCTTTTGTGGTGATGTATCCACAACAAGCTTCCTACTGATGATAATACATTTTCTCGAGCTTGTTTCATTCCTCCTGCTTGCAGTCTGTGTTACAATCAAAGTGAATACACCCATCATATTCTTTTTACTGTGTTTTTTCCATAAACATTTGGAGTTGATTCTCCTGCATTGTTATTGGATTTCCAACAATCAACTCTCTAGATGACTATTGGTACATCATGAATCAGGATTGGTCCAAGTTCTACAAAACTATCATATCAACTTCTATCATCTAAATTATCAATGGAATTCAAAATCAAAGACATCCTTGTAACTCGGTCATCTTGCATGAACTTGATCCTCGATAACTTATCTCTTACTGTTTTCCCTCATATGGCCAACTCAAATATGCGAGAATTTATCATTTTGAAAGGCATTTCTTTGATCCCCAATCCCTCTACTCCTCCATACATCAAGGACATTTTGTGGCATCCTTCTCTGTATGTTGAATTAGGGGAAATTCGGATGGTATGTCGGTTGGTACTCAATTTCTTGCAACTTATGGAGGAATTTTCAGAAATTCCAAGGTGACCACGTGGGAAGTTCTCCAATTTCATTGGTAAAGATAATGCCATCACTGTTGAGTTTATTGGTGCTATGATGGCTGAGGAGTTTGCTGTAAAAAATAATTGGACTCATTTTTGGCTTGAATTCGACAATTCGCTTGTAATGCAAGCATTTTTTTAATCATTCTCTAGACCCTCTCTTCACATACTTCATTGTTTCACACATCATAAAGGAAAGAAACATTTGTACAGACAAGCTTGCTAACATCAGATTCACTCATAAAATATCTTTGATTTAATCATATACATGCGAACATTAGAGTAGATTTTTTGAGAAATTGAGAAGAAATTATTTATTATAAATATCTTAATTAGTAGGGGCTTTCAACTTGGTCCTTTCTTTTTGGGTAAATTTTTTTCTTCTATAATATAGTCATTGGCCTTCGACTTCAAAAAAATAAATCTTTTTTTATAATTTGTAATAATTATTTATTTATTTATCAATCTTTACGGAAGGAGCACAAATTAAAAAAGTGGACAAGTTAACATTTTTTAAAATGGATTGTGAGAGTAATTAAAGGAAGTGAGGGAAGATAAGTTAGATAAGTTAAAACGATAGTATACTTTTGAGAGATATTCTTGTAATTTAAACTATAATGCTGAAACTCTAATTAATCAAATAATATATAAATAGTTGCTCTAAAATAAATATATCTAATATATGTTTGATGTTCATCAACTTCATCAAAATCACATTATCTCCACATTATCTCATAAGCTCTAAATAATTGCTTTGTTATTTTTGCATTTTCTTACTCTAGGATTAGGATGTACTAGTTGATTTGGTTTTGTAACTTGAAACCAAACACACAAGACGTAATTGAAGTGTATATTAGTTATTGTTGTAACATTTGTCTATTGACCAAACTCAAAGTCATTCTTGTGACAACCACATGGTAAAGATAGATATTAAAAAAACGACACAACTCACTCTCCATGCCATGATTCACTTGTTACATAAAACAGTCAACCAAACTCTAACTCTTAATACTACAAACTCTTGTGACACGTGCTCTCTATTTCTTTTTTCATCCCCATTAATGAAAATTTAATTAAAACCAAAAAATTATTAAAAAGTTTCTATGAGCTGTAGGGAGTTACGTGTGTGGAAATCGAGCTGTATTCTAAAACTTCTCTTCCTTTTCCCTCCTTCACCATTTCTTCTTCCTTCATTTTTTTTAGTGCAAAGTCTATAAATACCTCTTATGTTCAACTTATTTTGTCACAAACCTTCTTCTTCATCTCTTTCTCTTATAAAAAAAAAATTATTTGACTCAAACAGAGACATAAAACATATACGTAAAACATAATCATAAACATGGAAGTAAGTACCATGTTATGTTTTTTGTTTAGTTCTATTCTCTTCATTGTTCTTTTCAGAATATTCATCAAACAATTTGTCTCCAAAAGACAACACTTGCCACTTCCACCTGGTTCAATGGGTTATCCTTACATAGGAGAAACTTTTCAACTTTATTCTCAAGACCCAAATGTTTTCTTTGCATCAAAAATCAAAAGGTTCATGAAAAAACTTTTCAAAATTCTTATCCATCTAGAATAGAATCTCTTTTCTTTGAAAAATTTCACTAACACAAAAACTCAAAATTTGTTCTGTATTTTAGGTATGGTTCTATGTTCAAGTCTCACATTTTGGGGTGTCCTTGTGTCATGATTTCAAGCCCTGAAGCTGCTAAATTTGTGTTGAATAAAGCTCAACTTTTCAAGCCAACATTTCCAGCTAGCAAAGAGAGGATGTTGGGAAAACAAGCTATCTTTTTTCATCAAGGAGAGTATCATGCTAACTTGAGAAGACTTGTTCTTCGAACTTTCATGCCGGAAGCTATCAAGAATATTGTTCCTGACATTGAATCCATTGCTGAGGATTCTCTTAAGTCAATGGAAGGACGTTTAATCACCACTTTCCTTGAAATGAAAACGGTAAAGTCTCCAAAACAGAGCCAAAAAAAAAACAGAGCAAAAAACAGAGCAAAAACAGAGCAAAAAATAATGAAACAAAAGAGTTGAAAAAATGAAATTTTTATAGATTCTAGTTAACAAGTATACAAAATAAAAAATGGGTTTTTGTTAAATTTTCAATTTTGGGTGATTGCAGTTCACATTCAATGTTGCTCTACTTTCAATTTTCGGAAAAGATGAAATTCACTACAGAGAGCGTTTGAAGCAGTGTTACTACACACTTGAGAAAGGTTACAATTCAATGCCGATAAACCTTCCAGGAACACTCTTTCACAAAGCTATGAAAGCAAGGAAAGAGCTAGCACAGATCTTGGCTGAGATAATCTCAAGTAGGAGAGAGAAGAAACAAGATTTCAAAGACTTGTTAGGTTCATTCATGGATGAAAAATCAGGACTCAGTGATGAACAGATAGCAGATAATGTGATTGGAGTTATTTTTGCAGCTCGTGATACCACAGCTAGTGTGCTTACATGGATTGTGAAGTACCTTGGTGAAAATATCAATGTTCTTGAATCAGTGATTGTAAGTGTTTAGGGTCCTACTCTTTATTATCCTTAAATCATTGTTTTTGAAACATAGTTGTTTAGTTTCTAAACTTGGTTTTTTTTGACATGTTTTATATAGGAGGAACAAGAATATATATTGAGGAACAAGGAAGAAAATGGTGAAGAAAAAGGTCTTAAATGGGAAGATACTAAGAAGATGGTTATAACTTCTAGGGTTATTCAAGAGACTCTTAGAGTTGCTTCAATTTTGTCTTTCACTTTTAGAGAAGCCGTTGAAGATGTTGAATATCAAGGTGAATATTTTACCAAATCATGTTTAATATTAAACTTTTAAAATGGTCGTTATTTAAAACCTTGTATGATACGTTAATTTTTTTCATTTATATTTTTACATTTATACTCATAGATTCTGTTTTTGTGATTGTGTTTTTTAGGGTATCTTATACCAAAAGGGTGGAAAGTATTGCCTTTATTTAGGAATATACACCATAGTCCAAACAACTTTAAGGATCCAGAAAAGTTTGATCCTTCAAGATTTGAGGTAATTATTGAAATGAACTATTATGCATTATTACTATTTACCATAGTTTTGTTTTGTTCTTATTCATGTGTTGATACAAATTTACAAAGAACCAAGACATTGATAGATTCTATTAATCATTTTGCCAGACTGCTACAAAACCCAATACTTTTATGCCATTTGGAAGTGGAGTCCATGCATGTCCCGGCAATGAATTAGCCAAGTTGGAGATTTTGGTCCTTTTACATCATCTCACCACAAAATACAGGTTGGTAAAAATTTGATCTCTTGCAACACTTTCACTAAAATATGATGTTTGAATCATCTCTAGTGCAATTATAACCATTGGATCTAAGACATCGAAAAAATTAAACTTAGATCCAATGATATGTAGAATTGCACGATTTTAAATGCATGTTAGATTGAAACTGAGTTTGACGGAATTACAGTACATTTTGAAATTTCATTAAAAATTATAAAATTACTGTGATTCTTAATATATATACTAAATTCATTGTTAGATATCATGTAAAATTTGAAAGTTTGAAAATTTTATAAGTGTTGTGTTGCATTATTGTGTGCAGGTGGTCTGTGGAAGGTACAAAGGATGGGATTCAATATGGTCCCTTTGCTCTTCCCCAAAATGGATTGCCCATCACACTATATCCAAAAAAATAGATATCATTACAACAAAAGATTGATCTAAGCCAAAACCATATTCTATAGAATCTTTCTATATATGGAAATAATGACTTGTTATGATAGCTCTCAAGGAGAGACTATGTTGCAAATCTTATAAAAAACAAGGGAGATCAATTCAACTTTTGCTTTCTTTTTGGCCTATTGACACCTAAAAGGGTAGTCTTGAGAATAGCATTCAAATAGGGATGGAGTTTGTCAAGTGTATATAAGAAGAGGTTTCATAGCCAGAGCAAATAGTTTAAGTTTATATCATCATTTTTGGACTTTTCATTTTCAAATTTGAGGAAAAGTCCTCAAAAGATTGTATTGGTAGATGTTACTTGTTACATTTTTATCTCACTTTGTAACCTGCAAATAATATTATGGTGTACTAATATGTGTCCCAAGGACATTAGTTAGAGACACCTCGTTAAATATTTTTAATTACTTGAAAAATATGTCTTCATATGTTGTGCTTTTAATGTAATACATTTATTTCCTTTTGATATTTTATTTTATTTTATTTTATTGATCAAGATCTTTCAACCTAAAAATAAGTCTTAATATTTTGCTTATGGAAATTAGGGTTTTTTGTTTATATCCATCTCACCTTTTTTATTGTAACCGTGTAATTTTTAATAATGGCATAAAAGTTAAATCGAAATGTGAATGGTTAAGTTTTACATAAGTTATAAAATTATTAACCGCTCTTTCAAACTCCTTAACATTTTAAAATGTAAATAATTAATTTAAAAAATATAAAAAGTTAAATTATCATTTAAAATTTTGTTGAAAATTGTGATAGTAAATAAGTTTACCATCAATAATCTATACACATCTCAGAAATTTATACTACACAGGGAAATTGAATAAATAATATTTTATTAAAAGTTGTGAGTATCTATGAAAAGAGATGGTGATGTAGGTGATGATGTCAATTATAAGATCCATACTTCAATTGATGAGTTATTGTACCCATTAGAAAGCTCCAAGGTCAAAACAAAGTGAATTATTGGAACTTAGACCAACCAAAAAATAAAACAAACTATTGGGATTAGTGCATGCCTGAATACAAATAAATTTATTAGATAGTAATATAAATACAAACACAATTAACATATAGAATCATTTTTTAAATGAGATAAGATAGCAAGAATGAAAATAGAAAAGTGAGCCTAATGAATCACGACACTACAAGAACTATACAAGAATTAAAGTGGTGATTATTTGTGCTTCCCATTTTGCAAACATGCTTTCAATTATTCAAATTTTTATCATATCATATGTTAAGGTTGAATAAAAATTCAGGTTCCTTAGATATGAATTACACATGTCATTTGACTCGCTTAGAGTTAACAAACAAGTTTTAAGTGATGAGTCTAGTGGAATGTATCCAATAAGAAGTTTTTATCGACTGATTATTTACGAATTTATTGTAACATCTTGCTTTATATATTTTCTTTTAGAAGTAATATTAATGTGTTATGTTTATATTTAGAGTAATTTATTTTATTTAAATCTTATAATAAAATTATATGTGAATATGCTAGTTAAATAACAACTTTATAAAAATATTAAATACTATTATAACACATTATAGTAAATTAAACTTGATAATAATTTATTTAAATAATAAATTGTAGATATATAAATTGGTGTAATATTCAATAAAAAATTAGGCTTAAATGCAGTTTTGACCCCCATAGTTTAAGGTTTTTGGAGTTTCGATCTCCCTAGTTTAAAAGTCAGGTTTCTAGTCCCCAAAGTTTTCAAATTTGGAATTTTTGAAGCCCCTCATCTGGCTGTCCAAAAAGTGACATGGCAATGCCACGTATTTTTTTATTTTTATTATTTTTATTTTTTTTAATTTTTTAATTTTTAAAAAAAAAAATTTTTTTTTTCTTCTTCTCATGGGCAAAATTAAGGTTCGAAAGAAAAAAAATTTTTTTTTTTTTAAATAAATAAAAAAAAAAAAAAAAAAAAAAAAACGTGGCATTGCCATGTCACTTTTTGGGCAGCCAGATGGAGGGGGCTTCAAAAATCCCAAACTTAAAAACTTTGGGGACTAGAAACCTGGCTTTTAAACTAGAGAGATCGAAACTCCAAAAACCTTAAATTAGGGGGGTCAAAACTGCATTTAAGCCAAAAAATTATTAGAGGTGAAAAGATAATAAAATAATTATAACATAAGTTTTATAGTAAATATACATTTATTATATGAATTATATGTATGCATAATTTAGTAAAATAAAGGAATATTTATAGTGTCAGTGTATCAGTTTATATTTTAAAAAACATATTATTATTATTATTATTATTATTATTATTATTATTATTATTATTATTATTATTATTATTATTATTATTATTATTATTATTTATTAGTATTTCTACTATTATTATTATTATTATTATTATTCTTACTACTATTTACTACTATTATTACTATTATTACTATTATTATTATTATTATTATTATTATCATTACTATTATTATCATTATTATTATTATTCTTACTACTATTATTACTATTATTACTATTATTATTATTATTATTATTATTATTATTATTATTATTATTATTATTATTATTATTCTTACTATTTATTACTATTTCTACTATTACTATTATTATTCTTACTACTATTTATTACTATTATCATTATTATTATTATTATTATCATTATTATTATTATTACTATTATTATTATTATTATTATTATTATTATTATTATTATTATTATTATTATTATTATTATTATTATTATTATAATAATAATAATAATAATAATAATAATAATAATAATAATAATAATAATAATAATAATAATAATTATTATTATTATTATTATTATTATTATTATTATTATTATTATTATTATTATTTCATCTCAAATTTTTGTTAGAAACACCAGTTATGCATGCTACACATACATAGTCTATAATACAAAGGTGACACTAGCCATAACACCTCGTGGTTATACCCTTTTATGTGGCACAAAATCATAATGCCATTGTATTTATTCATAAATGTCACCTCAATATTTATCTCTTAAGAAATTTTTATCTATAAATAGGATAAAAATCAATTAAAATTCATCAAAATTTATAGAAAATTTATATCAATTTTGATGAACAGGACTACTATCATTATATAATAGTAATAAAATAAAGAATTAGAGTTTGACGAAATTAGAGAAGAAGATGATAATTTTTTATAGATTTTCTCTCTATCCACAAACTATGGAAAAATCTTATTCATTTTGCAACTGTAAAATTCTATGAATACTAGTTGTTTACAATATATGAATTGCTCCATATTTATAATGAGATTTCTTGCTCCCTAAGACAAAACACACAAATATAAAAAGCTCAATATAACTATTTAGACCTAAGTCGAAATACTGTGTGAAGTTAACTGCTTTGACACTTCGACAAACATACTTCGATACACACACACTGGGCTAAGTTTGACATGCCTTTGTTCTCTCGAGCAACATATTGCTTCGACATAAAGAATTATAAACTCAACACACCACCTAATTCATTGTGCCTAAGTTATTTACATTAATCATATCTCTTATTCTTCTAAACACTTCGACCTGCACACCCTTCATCATGATATCTGCAATCTGATTCTCATTTACGCAGTGTTCCAAGTTCATCTTCCTTTTGCTACTTGCTCTCAAAGATAATAGAACCTCATTTTGATGTGTCTGCTTCTGCCATACGCTATCAGATTCTTTAACAGATTGACAGCTGACATGTTGTCAATCTTCATGGTAATTGCTCCATGATTCTTTCCTGTTATTTCTTCGACCAAATTCACCATCCATGATACTTAGCATGTACAAAGACAAGCATCTATGTATTCTGTTTCACACGAAGATATTTCCATTACCGATTCTTTTCTTTAACTCCAAGCAACTGGTGCACCACCTAGCATAAACACATAACTAGTTATGGATTTTTGATCCTCGGCATCACTACACTAACTTGAGTCGGTGTAACACACTAATTTTCATTATTTTCCTTCATCATCTGCAGGAAATAAAATTCCATAATCGAGAGTTCCTTTTAGATACCTTAGTATCCTCTTTGTCTATGCGAGATGTGATACCTTTGGCTTCTGCATGAATCTACTCACCATACCTACACTGTATGTTAAGTTAGGCCTTGTGTGACAAAGGTACCTTAATAACCCAATAAGTATTTTGTATTGCGTCTAGTCAACACCATCTTTGTCTGAGTCTTTCGAATTTGCATTATTGGTTCAACAAGTGTCAAAGTCGAGTTGCATTCTTCCATCTCAAATCTCTTGAATATTTCACTTGTATAACTTCTTTGATGCATTATCAAACCTCTACTACTCTTGTAGAATTTGATGTCAAGAAAATATGAAATGTCGCTCAGATCAGACAGTTCGAATTCCTTTTTAAGGTCACCTTTGAAGTCTTCAAGCTCTTTCTTGGAGCTACCTATTATCAACAAGTCATCAACATAGAGACACTGTATAAGTAATTCAATATTGCTTCTTCTTACATATAATTTATGCTCAGTTGCGCACTTCACAAATTCCTTCTCCCTTAGGAAACTACCTATCTTCTTATTCCAATCTCTTGGAGCTTGTTTGAGTCCATACAGTGCTTTATGCAACCTGTACACCTTTCTTTATTCTCCTTGTTTCACAAACTCAACTTGTTGTGCAACATAAACTTATTCGTCTAAGGAGGTATTTAGGAATTCACATTTCACATCCATCTGAAATATGTGCCAAATGTTCATTTCTGCTAGACCAACAATCAGGATTGTTTTGATTCTAGCAACAGGTGCAAAGACTTCATCAAAGCCGACTCCTTCTTTTTGAAGAAATCCTTTCGCCACAAGTCTAGCCTTATGTCGAGTTACTTTGCCTTTGGAGTTCAACTTATCCTTGTATACCCACTTAACATCAATTTCCTTCTTGCCTTGAGGAAATTCGACAAGTGACCAAGTG